TGGAGAGTGATTTGAGCATTATCACTTGTCAATTAATTATTTTTACTAAATCATACTAATTCTGATAATCTATTCAAGGGTGCCAAAGGAATTTGATTTATAAATAAAAGAATGCAAGAATTAAATACTAAGATTACCTTACTATGATTGGGGAAATTCTAGGGTTGCAACCTCTTTAGAATTCATGCATAGTATCTTCTTTTATGAACTTCAATTAGTTATCAAATAGCTGATTCAGACACATTAACTAGGACTTGTACCTATTGAACACCTCTACCCTTCAAAATTTGAACCATTTGAACATTCTTTGCCTAGGTGGCACATTATTTGTGATTCATGTCCTATAAGCGCGTGGAATGTATTAAATTGGGCGTTTTTTGTGGGAAAAAAAGAAGAGAAAATAGTCAAATGCCCCCTCAATCTATTATCAGATTTTCAACTACACACCTATACTTTACGAGGGTCCTATTACCTTCTTGGACTATTTCAAAATGGAATTAATTTCACCCTAAAATGCTACACCCAGATTTATTGTGTGAAGTGAAACACACGCACCAACACATGTTTAACATGTGTATTTTCTATTTAAATTTATTTTTTATTTACTTTCTTTCTCATTCTTCTTCTTTTCACTACCCTCCATTATTTTCCACCATTAAGACAATCCAAAACTTCTTCTAGTGATAGCTAAAAATGAAAAAGAGGATAATTTTTTTGATAAGAATTTTTTTCTAATGATAAATTTGAACGAAATCATTAATAAGTATTGTTGGAAAGACAAATTGATCTAGTGGGTTAAGAAAAAAATCAACATTTCTATCGAAGATGAACAGAGAATTGAATTTATTTTATTTCTTTTTCTGATTGTAAATTATGTGTAGTAAAATTACAGATCTAATGTTTGTTTTGGACAACTGGGAAGATTGATTTATATATATGAAAAGTGAGGTAAATCATAAAGAAAATTGGAAAAAAGAAGAGATTAAAAAAATGTCAATAAATTCATCTTCTTAGTTCTTTGGCTTCTTATTCTCTGTCGATTATCTTCTTCCTGTCGCCGACATCATTAATCCGTTGGAGATCGAAGTGTCAAGATTGTTGTTTCTTCTTCGCCATGGAAGTGGGTGAAAGAAAAGTAATTGTCTCCATTAAAGGGGAGACAATTTTTTTAAAGAAATAAATAAATAGAAAAAATATATAAACTATTTAATTATTACAGAAATATAATAAACTTTTTACATGTTTATTGCTTCTCGCTCTCTCAAAGAGAGTGAAATGCACTCTTTGTACCTACTCAACACTTAAGGGGTTATTTATTCCACTTCAAAATAGTCTAAGAGTGTAATAAGATTCCTGTGAAGTATAAGTGTGTAGTTGAGAATTCACAAATAGGTTGGGAGCTCAATTGACTATTTTCTCAGAAAAAAATATTCTTTCTTCTTTGTCATTCCTTCCTCCACAACACCACTAGTTCACCATTGCCGCCGTCGCTGCACACCCTTCTTCTTCATCTTATTTTCTTAGGATACTTCAGTTCTTTTACCTCCATTGTTGTTGTCATTCATATTAGGATTGACAACACCACCATTCCACCGTTATCACCATCATTTTCATCATGTTAATTTATAGAAGGCTTTTAGTTTGAAGTTTTTCTCTTTGCTGTTAATATAGTTATTTGGTGTTAAATTGATGTCCAGTTGTGTGAATTTATTTGAGGATTTTTCAATTTATTATTTGCTTTGCTCAAATTTTTATTGAAGCTTTTTTATTTTCCTGAATTTGTTGTTTTGACTTTAAATTGATGTATATTGACAAAATGTAAGGACGTTCTTCATCCAAAAAAGTTAATCAGTTATGAAACATAAAAGAATTCTGAGATAACTTCATTTATTCCGATAATGGCAATCGGATCTCATTAATTTTCCGGCGAGTGTTTTTCATCTTTCTCTACCTAAAACGGGACGAAGAAGAAAGTTATAGTTAAAAAATCGGCTGATGGAGAGGAAGATTTGTCGTGTTGGAGATGACATTGTAAAGGGAGAGGGAGGGTGTCACGCCCCAAACTCGAGGGACGCAACTGGCTCCTAATGCCAAAACTCAGGCCCGAGCCGACCCTGCTGATCCATTTGCTACTAGCGCATGACAGCCACACGCAATCAAGAAATCAAACAAGTATATCTCGGCTTAAAACTAAGTCATCGGCCGGCAAGGCCCCTGTCAACTGATCTATAAAAGAAACAGCTACTCCCAGGAGATCATATAAATAAATAG